ATATGAAATAATTCATATTTGAACTGCGGTTGTAGATGAAAGTGAAGAATGATCATCGCAGTAAATTTCCTATTTAAGCAATTGGAAAGAAGAAGCCTTGATTTTTTCAGGCTTCTTCTTTCCAATTGCTTAAATTGGAAATTTACTGCGATGATTATTCTTCACTTTCATCTACAACCGCAGTTCAAATATGAATTATTTCATACATACTTCACGTCATAAAACGATGTGTCCAACATTGTAATGATAACTAACGACAGGGTAATCAAACAAAATCATAGTAATAGGCCATTTCCGAGTTACCTTGTGTCTCTAGATATGTTTCAAAATGAGTCCTTGTGCAAAGTCTCATATGAATTTGAATTCAAATGAATTTGATTTACATGAAAAATAAACCTCTAGGCGGAACACATTTGAATGGTTTACCAAGAAGACTCGTTTTGACACAGAGGCAAAAGCCAACTCGTAAATGGCCAATTACATTTTATGATGAGCCTAACACCTTTACCTATAAATATAATTTAAGGGGCCCTCTAATGTTATGAAAAGTGCAAACGTGATATTTACCCATGATCATTAACCCGAGTCTCAACAGGCAATGATATCTGCAGAACAAAAAGGCAGTTGCATATTTTTAAACTCACCTGAATTGGTTGCAATACCTTTCACGATTTTAGGAGTAATTGCCGATGGTTCTCTTTTCGTCTGTTATACAAATAGAAAACCACACCCACTAAATGACAATCGAACTGTCGTAAAACAGAAATTGAAATTTGTAACAACAAAAACAGCAATAACGACCACGACCACAACAAAAACAACAAAAATGCATCCGAAGACAGTTGTTAGTAGAGACGTTATATTGTCTCTAATATAAAGATTGATAGTTATTCTACTCACGACAATATAGGGCCCAACGCCAGTGTAGTGAGGTGAGAAGATTTTACTCACGTCCAGACCAACTGAAAATGAGAAATATAACCTCTCTTCAGTCTCCCTAATCATCATTAAAAAATCGTAAAACGTTTTTAAATTCCCAAAGTTGTATGTGGGGAGAAAATAAAAATCATATCTCTAACTCAGTAATAAATCATACACCAAGGCAACACCCCTCCAGCCTCGCCGCTTCATTTATTTAGCTTCTAAAAGGCTTTACACTCAGTTTAATATATTTTTTTTACTTAGTCCTGTTTTACAAGTGAGTATACGAAATTTCATATATTTGAACTGCAGAGAATGATATGAATTCGAAGAACAAAAAATTCAGGCCCGAACGGGATCCCGTTCAGGCCTGAAATTTTTTCAGGCTTTGATTTCGCAACTGCTTAAGTTGTGTGCATAACTGCGATGATCGATCATATCTTTAGTCCTGTTTTGTTATGACTGATAATATCAAGTGTAGTGATACCGTGTTCTTGACTGATGAGGTGTATATTGAGTGCTGAGGACTTAACGGCTGCCCGCTGTACATCCACTCGTTTACTCCAGCAACCCTCCTTCATGAACACAGCGTCACTAATAAAGAGTGAAGTCTCACGTTAACGTAATGTCTAATGGAAGACAAATATCCCTGCAAATCATATATGTGGTTACAGTCGAACCTCTGATAACGGGCACTACGTGCGGATCCACTATTAACTTCGCCGCATCAGCGGAAATCTCCCTAAGTGCATACTGTTTTCTCTTCACAAGGGCGGTCGTTTACAGGAGGTTCGACTGCTTGTACTAAAAATCGATTTCCCTTCTGCCTGCAAATTCCTCAAATTTTATTTTAAAAAAATATTTCACGGGATTTCGCGAGTCGATCTCAGGCTACCAGACTTTGAATATCTCAAAGGTTCAATAAAGCATTTTGCACTGTGTTTGTCCCATTACCAGTACTCCCCTAATGACTAGGGAAGAGGTACAGATCCGTTCATACAGTTTTATGATAGTCCGGAAGGTCGATTGGATCTTTTAGACTACTTAGATTTTTAAAATCCATTACCTTAATCTCTGTTTGAATACCACTTTGTTATCAGCATCAGAAATCAACACAAGACAAAAGTGATTGTTCCGTCCTGAGCCAATGACGTCTCTTCGTTTGATGTAGTTCGTCATGGTTAGATTGATCACTATCTCTGCTCGGTTAGGCTGGTGTCTTCCAGTCTGTGCACAAAAACATTAACAGAACACTTTGTGGCATAGCAAATGCTTCAGGGTTGAAGTAAGGAAAATAGGACTGAGCAGTCTAATCCCGTGAGAAACTCCAAAATCGGACGAGCGCGAAGCGCAAAACGGATCGAAAATTACGAGTATGAGCACAGCTGAATTGCTCGATACGAAAGAGATTAATGATTGTTTTTAGCGTCATTTGATATTTGATTTTTAATAATTTACCTGTTGAACAGACAGCTCATACTTGGGCAGACTCGAAGCTGATTCACGAATCTGAAGCAAAATGAGCAGTTATAGTAATAACATGAGTTAGCCTCGCTAGAAGGTAAAACTGTATATACTTATGCGTAAACCTGTTTACCGAAACTCATAGGAACTCGCGAATCCAAATCATACTTAATACAATATCATTCTGATTTTCCCGTAAGATGGGAGAAGGAAACAGGTATACCTGGCTTCCAAAAGGTGGATGACGGTTCACGATCTGAAAGGTAAATGGAACGAGACGCTTGGTCGCAATATCATTGTAAATGAAAGATCGAAATGAAGAAAAACATTTCAGTTATCAGTAGTACAATCTGAGTACCATTTCGATTTCTCGAGGATTTGTCTCTTCGATTTTCTTAAAGGTTATCAATCCAGCGTTGACCATCATTGTGGATAAAGAAGGTCCTAAATGAAAACAAAAGACAGTAACGAAAACTGAAATCACGCGGAATAAGCCAATCAAAACATAAAAAAGTTACTTCACCTTCAGTGAGGCATTGGTAACGCATAACGCTTCCCAAAGTACATGTATTATATAAGGTCTGGGGGATTAGGTCTTTATGCATCTTGGAAATCAGATTTCGCTATATGTGTGGTGGTTAAAGAATTACATATTGTAGACATGTATTTTTGGCGACCAACTTGATTTTGTGCCCTTTTACGTCGTTACCATTAGTAGAATTCATCTCTGTGCCTACAAATAAACATAGGTAATCGTATAAATGAATTTACACTGAGGGTGATATCTGAAAATTCTCTCAAAATTGCACGAGCCTTTAGGCGAGTGCAATTTGAAAGAATTTTCAAATATCACGAGTAGTGTAAATTCCTAATCGCTTGAGCTTTCATACGATTACTCATTTATTATATGATTGAGAAATTTACAAACACGCGCGCATAAATTTGCAATGCAGTGCAAAATCAACGATAAATTTACCTGCTCTCAGCCAATCACAATACGGCAATTTTCTATGTCATATTATAAGAGATTAAATCTTACCGACTTTTTCCAGTTGCTTTGAAACAAACTTGGAATTCTCCCATAATCTGTCGACATATGCGGAATGAGTAGTATTTTACTGAGCTAATTTACAGTCTTATAAATTGGCAATGAGATCATAACTGGAAATAGTATATACATCATTACCTGGCTTTCATACACTTTGCAAGAGTGACTGAGTTTTGCAGTGACGTGAAATCGTTCTTCAACATTTGAAGCTCTGTCAAACCTGAGGAGGTAAAACGTTCACGTAATGTCAAGCCTAACGTGAACGAGCAAGCTGTCGTTCCTATATCGGAGTTATGTCAGTTGTATGGTTATGGTATACTATGGTATTTTCATTTACCAGTGGGCTTGAGATCAAATCCGTCATCCATTTTTATAAGCCCGGCCTTTTCCAGTGTGTTCAGGCTCTTCAAGCAAATGTCTATGCCAAAAAAAAAAAATTCAGAGTTAGTTTAGATTGCCAGTTTCCAACTAAAGAATCTTGACAGCGGACCAAGAAGAACTTGTGATTTCACTCGTTTACTATTTGGGTCATAGGAGCAGATTAATGTAGTATTTTCCAAAATTAAATTTAAGAATGATCGAAGGTACCAATTTGAACACCTATAGGAGGGTTCGAAGGCATTTTCCTCAGTCCTGAACTTAACTACCAAACTGTAAAGGTGCAGTAGTAATGCAATAATGCAAATATGCGTTATGTCAAAGGTGTAAACGTTTTAAGTGGCATAACTAATCGAATAATATTGCAAGTGACATTATTATTCGTATTGCGGTGTAGGAAATGTTAACTAGTATTATAAGCAACATGAGTTATCTACTGCACTGTAAGTAGTGTAAGCATTTGTTAGCAGCGCAAGTGATCGTATTGTATTGTAAGTAGTGAATGTATTGATTGCATTGTGAGTAATATAAGTAGTAGGGGTGGCGAATGGTAAATGCAAGACTTTGTGAGACGGCGAGACGAGCGTTTTTCTTTACGAGCCCGAGACATCTTGACTTTTTAGATTGCGAGACCGAGACTTCAAAGTGTCATGAGTGCGAGCGCGAGACGTTCAGACTCTCAAAATTCGAGCTAGAATGAGCTTGTACAGCCTTAAGCCAGCTTCTTGGAACTGACTGGAACTGGAAATTCGATTATAACACACTACATCATGATATCCTAGAGAAATACAACTGTTTTTCTGGCGCCAAACCGGACGTTGCGGTAGGTTTTGTACCTTTTTGTGGAATTAAGACAATTAGGAGAAGTTAGGATTAACTTTT